TCACCTACCTGCGGACTGACCTAGGAGAGCCGCCTCGTTCTCCTCCAGTTCTGTACGTAGACAACAAGGCCATGCTGGCCTTGTGTCAGGAGCACAGACTTGAGCACAGAACGAAGCACATTGCTCTTCGCTACTTCCTGGCTCGTGAGCTGCAGCAGCGTGGTCAGCTCCGCCTCACCTACGTGGCCTTAGAGGCCAACACTGCTGATATCTTTACCAAGGCCCTTCCACCTTGCGATCATCAGCGCTTCTATGCTATGCTAGGTCTTGTGCCTTCTTGGCCTCACTTGCTCACTTCTTGACCTTGTTTGTACTGTACTCTTTCTATACCTGCACTTGCTTCTTTACCTTTATATATATGATCTTGCATGTGAACTGGCCTTGTGGCCTTGCTCTTGTGCTCGGACTGTGTGGTGACGTTGTGATCCACCCTGAGCTTGTCTTGCTTTGCTTGACTGGTCTTTTGACCCCTTGTTCTCCCCCACTTTGCCTATGGGGGTGTGTCAGGCATATATGCTATAGTCTATGTAGGCTGTAGTGGGGCAGTTCATATGGGGTACAACACTTTAGGGTTTACTACTTGTACTCCTCATTCTGCTCAATGCATTCATCCCTCGTTTCTTATCATATTTAAAATAAGTACATTTGCAATACATTTCCGATGTCGGATTTACTCATTATTTTAGAGGGGTGGGGTAAAATCATAAACAAAATGCGTGAATGAGGGAATCCAATTTACACCCTTCGTGGTCCCTGGCCACTCACGGGAGTGCGATTTGGATTCCCTGGGTATTAGGGCGGAGTTTTTCCGCCATTGGGATAAATTTGGGGGAGGAGCGGCGCGGATTGCCATCTAGCATGGTGTTCGCGTCGTGTTTTAGGCTCACGTTCGACATGTTTTTCAGTTTTTTCTTGTCTGACCGGAGTGTTTTGCCTGGTTCGCCAAGGTCGAACCTGGTGGCCCGGCATTTCGATTCTCCCTCAAACCCTCTGCCCTGGCTGCCGAACATCGCCCAAAAGTAGAAAACCTGATGGATGGAGAGTCCAAAACATTTTCCCGGATATACCCACCCGCCGGTCTAAAAGTCCTGCGGGTCTCTCATCCGGGGGATGGAACGCTTATTTAGGAATAGTATGTGAGGATCCCCCCTTTTATATCAGCAAACTTAACGCGGCGATCTACGTTCATCGGGGTATTTTTCAGGGTTATTTAAGATGCACACCCAACGAAGCAAGCTGATTTGCTTACAAAAGACCCTCTTCCAAAATCAGCAGGTGCGAGGGAGCCAAACCAAACTGGCGAAATCCGCCAATTTCGTGGGGATTTCCGGTTGGGAAACAACCCTGCGCAACTCCGCGATCATTTTGTGAGGCTGGGCTGGGGAAGGGATTGGCGAAATTGTTACTGTGCACTCCTTACGGTAGTAATCGAAACATGCACTACCGAGGCTGAAGATGAGAACGGAAGTGACGCGAATGGTCGTACGGTTAGGAAAGCATCTGGACCGTTGTGCAGACAGCATCAAGCAGCGGCAGTGGCAAGGATTCTACCCAAGCAGTTTGAAACCGTATGGAGTCGTACGGTTGAGTTTCGCTGCAATAAGGGAATGTACCCCTTAGAGTATATGGCTAGCCTAGGTTGATTCACATTCCCTTGTACTCCTATATATGTTTCTGTAGTTGCATGTTTTTATCATCTCAAGCATTTTACATTCACTTTGCTATTGAGGTCAAGGGGCCACCACTACCACTCAATCGTGTCCGAACCTTCCTGAGGTGATCCTAGGTACAATCAATTTCTGATCGCAACATGGTATCAGAGCGACTCGGGAATCCTTCGCACTGCCACCTCCCAAATCTTCGACGAACAGAATGTGGCATCCGGCACACGCTCGCGTGTGAGAATGGCCAGAGGATCTGGTGGTCAGACGAATCTAATGGCTGAAGCGCAGCCCAACCCGGTTTCGACAAACGAGGAAACGACGGCGATTGGAACTGCCTGTCAAGATAGCAAGCAAGAATGACTGCATTGAATGAATTGTGGGTACAAGTACCCTAACATTGGGTTGTACCCCATATGGGCAACCCCACTATAGCCTACATAGAACTAGCACAGATATAGTTTGACACACCCCCATAGGCAAAGTGGGGGAGAACAAGGGGTCACAAGACCAGAAAAGAAAAGCAAAGTAAGCTCAGGGTGGATCACGACGTCACCACACACTCCGAGCACAAGCAAAGGGCCACAAGGCCAGTTCACATGCAGAGGTATATATGCAACAACAACAGTACAGTGATCACTACCTAGCAGAAGTAGGCATGCATGCATACAATATAGATCACAGTACAAGCAAAGTCAAAAGATGAGCAAATGAGGCCAAGTAGGCACAAGTCTTAGAACAGTACAAAACCGCTGATGATCACAAGGCTAGAGTGCCTTGGTGAAGATATCAGCAGTGTTGGCCCGAGAGGCCCCGTAAGCAAGATGAAGGTGTCCACGATGCTGCAATTCTCGAGCAAGGAAGTAACGCAGAGCGATGTGCTTTGTCCTATGCTCCAGTCGGTGTTCCTAACACAAGGCAATCATGGCCTTGTTGTCGACGTACAAAACTGGAGGAGAATGAGGCGGCTCTCCCAAGTCGGTCAGCGGGTAGGTGAGCCAACGTAACTCCTGTGCAGCTATTGCCCCTGCGTAGATCTCAGCCTCACAACTGGAATTGAGAACAAAATACGAGCGGGTAGACTGCCAGGATACAGAGCCGGAGCCAAGACTGAAGGTGTAACCCTGTAACGGCCGCTGCATAGCCAAGTCGTCAACCCAAGAAGCGTCTGCGTGGCCAGTTAGGACAATTCGAGCCCCTCCAAGCACGAGCCCCATGCCTGACGTACTAAACAAGAAGCGCAGTACCCTCTTAGCGGCCCCCCAGTGCTCTGGTTGGTTTCTCCCGGGCACAACGTAGCGTGCCAGGATGCTAAGAGGGTAAGCAAGGTTAGGTCGAGTGTAGGTCATCAGGTACATGAGGCAGCCCACAAGCTCTGGATACGGGCCACTCGGCTCTAGGGACTCATCCGAAGGCAGAGCTGAGAGCGAGTGACCAGTAGGTAGAGGAGTGGACTGTGGCAAGGAGTACGTGAAGCGGAAGCGCTGAAGGGCTTGCTGCACCATGTGTGACCGAGTCAGGGTAATGGTGCGCTGTGCTCTGTCCCGGATGATATGCAAGCCAAGATAGCTACGCAACTCTCCCAAGTCTGTGCACGTGTGTCTCTTCTGCAGCTCCGACTTCACGTGGGCGAGTCCCTCGGTGTCAACACTGGCAAAGACCAAGTCGTCGACGTACAGGAGGATGTAGAACGGTGGCAGCGAAGTGTCGGTGCGCAGAAACAGCGACGGGTCAGCAATAGAGGGAGCAAATCCAAGAGCCGGAAGAGTCGTCCTCAGTTTGTCGTGCCACTCGCGAGGCACCTGACGGAGACCGTAGACTGGCCGCTGGAGGCTCTACAGGGTACCTGCAAGAAACGACCCAGTGAAGCCAGGTGGGCGGCGCAGCCAGATCTCCTCGTGTAGGCTGCCCTGCAAGAAAGCTGTGCTGAAGTCAAGAGAGTGAAGCTCGTAGTCAGACTGAGCGGCGACGTGCAGCAGAACCCGAAGAGTGGTCATCTTCGGGGTAGAGGAGAAGGTCTGGAAGAAGTCAACTCCCTGTCTCTGACTGAAGCCTCGTGCAACGTAACGCGCCTTGAAGACAGGCGGAGAACTCGGCGGCCGCTTCACCCTGAAAATCCACATGCCACTAACGATGTTCGCCCCAGGAGGGGGAACAGCGTCAACGTAAGTGCCTGTGGACTTCCAAGATGACATCTCTGCATCCATGGCTGACTGCCACTGAGAGGAGTACTCACCTGCGATCGCCTCAGCGTAAGAGCGCGGGGTCGGGATGTCTGGAGCATCCGGGTCTCCCTCAGGGGCAAGCAGCATGGCCACGAGATGAGGCGCAGTGGCTGCAAGACACTCAAGGTCCTCCTGCCTATCCTCAAGGACGTCCGTGCCAAGAGCACACTCACCGCTGATGGACGCAGTACAGTCAGACTCAGACTCACCCACAAGACTAGCGGCGTAGTCGAGATGAGAAGCAGCAGCCAAGTCAACAAGCTCAGCGACTAAGGCAGACACAGCAGTGGACTCAAACGAAGGGTTAGTGACAACAGCGGCTAGGAGACGCGTGACAGTAGGACTGGTAGCACGAACTAAGTCAGACTCAGGGTTCGGACCGGTAGGAAGAGAGGACGCAGGAGGAGACGGCAGGGGAACACGCCGTGGAACAGAGGAAGGACGAAGTGCCATAGTGTGCGTGCCGGGGATAGGAGGAGGACGCTCACAAGGAACACGACGACCAGTGCGACGCGCGCGAACAGGCGAGGCAGGACGAGACACAGGCTCACGACGCTCTGTAAGCAAGTCTGTCTGCTCAGTGTATGGAGAAGGAGCAGGCAGTGGAGAGCCTGGCTGTAACGGGAGGCCAGTAGAAGACGGGAGGCTAAGAACCTAGCGAAGCACGGAGTCAGGCGATGGCAGAGACGATGGGGACGGCGGAGCGAAGAACAGTCGCGGCTGTGCAGTACCACTAGCACCAGCACCTCTAGTACCAGCACCTCCATTATGAGCACTTGCAGCTCCAGCGCCTCCAGCAACTTCACAACCTCCAGCCCTAGCGCCTCCAGCTCCGGCACCTCCAGCTCTAGGGCCTCCAGCAGCAGCACCCCCAGAACCGGCACCTCCAGCTCCTGGGTCTCCTACTCCAGGGTCGACACTACCAGCGCCAGGGCCTCCAGCTCTAGCTCCTCCAGCAGCAGCACCCCCAGAACCGGCACCTCCAGCTCCAGGGTCTCCAACTCTAGGGTGGACAGCACTAGCACCACGGTCTCTAGCGCCAGGGCCTCCAGCAGCAGCACCCCCAGAACTGGCACCTCCAGCTCCAAGGTCTCCAACTCCAAGGTCGACAGTATCAGCCCCAGGGCCCCCCCAGCTCCAGTGCCTCCAGCAGCAGCACCCCTAGAACCGGCACCTCCAGCTCCAGGGTCTCCAGATCCAGCGCCTCCATCTCTAGTGCCTCCATGTCCGGCACCTCCAGCATCAGTGCCTCCAGCTCCAGCAGCGCGACTCCGAGGGGGGGTACGCGAAGCAAGCCACTCGCGCAGCTTCTGCGGCGAGAGAGGTGACTGTTGCGACACAGCCCCAGGAGGACCTCCAGTAGACTCAGCAACCCTAGGCTCAGCACCAACACACTCAGTACCCCCTGGGCTAGCACCTCGAGGGCCAGCACCTCCAGCTCCAAGGTCTCGAACTCCAACGCGCGAGTCTCCAGCTCCACGGACCCCGACAGCTCGAGTACCTCCGGTACGAGCAACTCCAGGACCCTCAGCGCCAACAGTACCAACTCCTCTAGCACCAGCAGTACCACCAGTCCAGGCCGCTCCAGTACCTCCAGTACGAGCACCTCTAGACCCAGAAACACCAGCACCCCCAGCGCCTCCACGACGAGCAGCTCCAGCAACTCCAGCCGCAGAACCTCGAGCAGCAGTAGCTCCAGCAGCAGGATCTCCAGCTCCAGCAGCACGACTCCTCATGCGAGCACGCCACGCAAGCCACTCTTGTAGCTGCTGTGGTGAGAGAGGCCCCCGTCGTGAAAAGAGACCCGGAGGAACGCCAACAGACTCAGCACTCCCAGACCTGGCACCCTCCAACTCAGCACCCCCAGGCTCCGCACTCGCAGGCTCAGCACCCCCAGGCTCAGCAACCCCCAGCACCTCACGCACAGGCTCATCACCCCCAAACGCAACACCCCGAGCAGCACCACCCGCAGCAGCACCTGAGTCGCTAGTGACCTCTACAGGCTCAGCCAAGGGGAGTGGGTCTACCTGAGACATAACTGAAGGAGCAGGACCCTGAGAGGGTAGGGGGTCTACCGCAGGGGGACCTGGAGTGGGGAAAAGCGGCGGAGGAGGGAGGGGGGCAGTGCGGTAGGGGAAGAGACGGTAGAAAGGAACCGAATCGTCAAAGGCGACGTTCTACGAGGACAAAATCACTTCGCGAGGTGGGGTGGTAAAACTGCCAGCCAGGCGCGTCAGGGGGGAAGCCGAGGTAGACACAAAGAATGGTGCAGGAGGAGAGCTTGTCCGCGGACGTATCGCGAACAAGGGCACGAGCACCCCGGACCCGGAACACTGCGCAGCGTACCGGACCTCAAACAGCCACAGAAAATGGGGAGCCGCCGCATGGACCACGGAGGTACGAGCGATCTTCATGACCAAGCCAATGCGGCGCTCAGCAACCCCATTTTGGTGCGGTGAGCCCGGAAGCGTGAACGACTGGAGGATGCCCTCCCCCTGACAGAAGACCAGCAAGAGGTCGAAGGAGAAATCACCACCTCTGTCAGAGTGCAGATGCAGAACAGGGAGGTCCTGGCGGAACCGCTCGCGGAGCTGGAGACGAACTACTCGGATCCAAGTGATCAGGACAGCAGGGACCTCACCATGGGTGCGCAAGGGGAAGACCGTGGTGTAACGCGAGTAGTCATCGACAACCAGCAGAAAGTACCGCTCGCCGCCCTGTCCACAAACATGGGCTGGGCCCCCCACATCCATGTGGAGGGTCTGCAGGGGAGCCTTTGTCGGGGGAAACGAAGAGGAGTGAGGAGCGGCGCGCTGCCGCCCCTCGACACAAGGAAGGCAGGGCGGCGCGGGCGAGGCAGGGAGGGGAGGGAGAGACCTGGGAAGACCAGACACAAGGAGGCGACGGTGCATGCCACGTAGACGTGGCAAGGAGGAGTGACCCAGACGGTGGTTCCAGAGAAGAGTCTGGTGCGATAGGGAGCGACACTCACAAGGGGAGGCTACCTGACATGACGCAGACACCTGACCAGTAGCAACTACTTGAGGGGACGCAGTAGTCAGTGTGTAAAGACTCGACCCTGGCCGATGGGTGAACGTGGCCAGGTGACGGCCAGTTCGGGAGCACGTACAGATCGCCACACGCTTGTGAAACTAACAGAACAGGAATGAATTGACTAAGTCAGAGTTGGGTACAAATACAACCCTAGCAAACTGTACCCCATATGTGCTACCCCACTATAGCCTACAAACATGCATCAGCCATAATAATCTGACACACCCCCATAGGCAAAGTGGGGGAGAACAAGGGGTCACAAGACCAGTCAAGCAAAGCAAAGCAAAGCAAGCTCAGGGTGGATCACAAAGTCACCACACAGTCCGAGCACAAGAGCAGGGCCAGAGGCCAGTTCACATGCAGGAGTACAGACATATATATAACAAAGTACAAGTAAAGTCAAGAAGAGAGCAAGTGAGGCAAGACAGGTACAAGACCCAGCTGGGTACAAAAGCGCTGATGGTCACAAGGCGCAAGTGCCTTGGTGAACACATCAGCAGTGTTGGCCTCAGAGGCCACGTAAGCAAGTCGCAACTGACCACGCTGCTGCAGCTCACGAGCAAGGAAGTAGCGGAGAGCAATGTGCTTCGTTCTGTGCTCCAAGCGCTGCTCTCGACACAAGGCCAGCATGGCCTTGTTGTCTACGTACAGCACTGGAGGAGAACGAGGCGGCTCTCCAAGGTCGGTCAGCAGGTAGGTGAGCCAGCGAAGCTCCTGTGCAGCCATGGCCCCGGCGTAGATCTCAGCCTCACAACTGGAGCCGAGAACTGAAGACGAGCGAGTAGACCGCCACGAGACAGAACCGGAACCAAGGCTGAAGGTGTAACCCTGTGACGACCGCTGCGTAGCCTGGTCGTCAGCCCAAGAAGCGTCCGCGTGGCCGGTAAGGACCACTGGACTCCGCCCTCCAAGCACTAGCCCCATGCCCGATGTACTGCACAGGTAGCGCAATACCCTCTTCGCTGCAGCCATGTGCTCCGGTCTGTGTCTCCCAGGAGCAACATAGCGTGCAAGAATGCTCAGAGGGTATGCAAGGTCAGGTCGTGTGCAGGTCATCAGGTACATGAGGCAGCCAACAAGCTCTGCATACGGACCACTCGACTCTACGGACTCATCCGAAGGCAGAGCTGAGAGTGAGTGGCGAGTAGGCAGAGGAGTGGCCTGAGGCGAGGAGTACGTGAAGCCGAAGCGCTGAAGGACCTGCTGCACCATGTGTGACTGAGTCAGGGTAATGGTGCGACGTGCTCTGTCCCGAGTGATCTGCAAGCCAAGGTAGCTGCGCAGTTCACCCAGGTCTGTGCACGTGTGTCTCTTCAGCAGCTCGGACTTCACGTAGGCGAGTCCAGCAGTGTCCGCTGTGGCAAAGACCAAGTCGTCGACGTACACGAGGATGTAGAACGGCGGCAGGGAAGTGTCGGTGCGAAGAAACAGCGACGGGTCAGCAGTAGAAGGAGCAAACCCAAGAGCCGCAAGCGTAGTCCTCAGTGTGTCGTGCCACTCACGCGGTGCCTGGCGGAGACCGTAGACTGGCCGTCGGAGGCTCCACTGGGTGCCAGGAGGGAAAGTCCCAGTGAAGCCAGGCGGACGGCGCAGCCAGATCTCCTCGTGCAGGCTACCCTGCAGGAACGCAGTGCTGAAGTCGAGAGAGTGAAGCTCGTAGTCGCGCTGAGCGGCAATGTGCAGCAGCACCCGAAGAGTGGTCATCTTCGGGGTGGGAGAGAAGGTCTGAAAGTAGTCAACTCCCTGCCGCTGACTGAAGCCACGAGCCACGTAACGCGCCTTGAAGACAGGCGGGGAGCCCGGCGGCCGCTTCACCCTGAAGATCCACATGCCACTGACGATGTTCGCCCCAGGAGGGGGAACCGCGTCAACGTAGGTGCCTGTGGACTTCCAGGAAGCCATCTCTGCATCCATAGCTGCCTGCCACTGAGAGGAGTAGGGACCCTCTACGGCCTCCGCGTAAGAACGCGGAGTCGGGATGTCTAGTGCATCCGGGTCTCCCTCAGGGGCAAGCAGTACAGACGCGAGATGAGGTGAAGCAGCCGCTAGACACTGTAACTCCTCCTGCCTGTCCTCTAGGACGTCCGTGCCAAGGGCACACTCACCCCCGACGGACGGAGGACAGGCGGACTCAGACTCAGCGACAAGACGAGCAGCGTAGTCTAGACGACAGCGCGCAGCAAAGTCGACAAGCTCAGTGACAAGGGCAGACGCAGCAGACGACTCGAAGGAAGGGTCAGTGACAGCAGTAGCAAGGAGACGCGTGACAGTAGGACTGGCAGCACGAAGAGAGTCCGACTCCGGGTCGGCAAGAGCAGGAAGAGAGGAAGGAGGAGGAGAAGGCAAAGGGGCACGCAGAGGAGCAGTGGACGGACGCAGTGACATCCGGTGCGTGCCAGGGACAGGAGGAGGACGCTGACGCGACCCGCGACCACTAGCGCGCTCAGTACGAACAGGCGACGCAGGACGAGACGCAGGCTCACGACGCTCAGTAAGACCTCCAGTCGGACCAGCGTAGGGAGAAGGAGCAGGCAAAGGGGAGGCAGGCTGTAGCTGTGGCTGTGACCGAACAGGCTGTGGACCCTCTAAGGGAGCAGGAGGAGGTGCAAGACTAAGAACCTGCTGCAGGAGCGGAACGAAGTACGGTCGGGGCCGCACGGTGACACCAGAAACAGCAGGAACAGCACCAGCCCCCCCGTCAGGAGCACCCACGCCAGCAGCACCTCCAGCAGCACCTCCAGAAGCTCCAGAACCCCCAGTAGCAGCACCAGGAGCACTGTCAGTCGGACCACCAGCGGCAGGCTCAGCGCCAACACCCTCAGCAGCACCAGCTCCAGGAGAACCCTCAGACCGAGCAGCTCCAGCACCCACAGTACGAGCACCGTCGGGACGCGCGGCAGCAGTACCTACTGCAGGCGAAGAACCACCAGCACCAGCAGCACGCCTCCAGCGCCTGGTAAACCACTCACGCAGCTCCTGTGGGGAGAGTGGCTCCCGGCGAGACGAAGCACCCCCAGGCACAGTACCCCCAGGCTCAGCACCCCCAGGCTCAGCACCCCCAGGCTCAGCACCCCCAGGCTCAGCACCCCTAGGCTCAGCACCCCCAGGCTCAGCACCCCCAGGCTCAGCACCCCCAGGCACAGCACCCCCAGGCTCAGCACCCCCAGACTCAGCACCCCCAGGCACAGCACCCCCAGGCTAAGCACCCCCAGACTCCGCACCTCCAGGCTCAGCTCCCGCAGCAGCACCAGAGTCACCAGTGACCTCGACAGGCTCGACCGCGTCTACCTGGGACACACCTGAAGGGGCAGGACCCTGAGGGGGGAGGGGGACTACCGGGGGGGGACCTGGTACCAAGAAGAGCGGGGGAGGGGGGAGGGACGGAGTGCGGTAGGGGAAGAGGCGGTAGTAGGGTACCGACTCGTCGAACGTGACGTCCTGGGAGGACAGAACACGTCGAGAGGTGGGGTGGTAAAACTGCCACCCAGGGGCGTCGGGGGGGAACCCCAGGAAGACGCAGGGAGAAGCACGAGGGGACAGCTTGTCCGCAGTCAGGTCGCGAACAAACGCCCGAGATCCCCAGACCCGGAACGCCGACGCATCGCCAACCTTCCCCGTCCACAGCAGGGCTGGGGAGGTCTCCGGTCGAGAGACCCTGGGGTGGAGGTTGATCTGGTGCGCAGCGTACCTGACCGCAAACGGCCACAGAAAATGGGGAGCAGCCGCATGCATCATGGACGTACGAGCGACGTCCATGACCATGCCAATGCGGCGCTCAGCAATCCCATTCTGCTGTGGTGAGTCCGGAAGCGTGAAGGTCTGACGGATGCCTCGCGCACGACAGTAGGCACTCAGGAGGCCAGAGGAGAACTCTCCGCCTCTGTCCGAGTGCAGACGCAAAACAGGGAAGTCAGAGCCAAAGCTCCTCCGAAGCTGGAGACGAGCTGCGCGGATCCAGTCGATCAACACCGCAGTGACCTCA